GCTCAATGGGTATTGCCCCAGGGGGGAGGGAGGACCCTTCTCAATGGCTATTGTCCCGGGGGGATGGAGGACCCTGCTCAATGTGTATTGCCCCACAGAGAGGCCTTACAGTGGGAGTTGCTCTGGGGCACAGGGGGTACATGGTGGGATGAGCCTCAGGAAGAGAGAGAGAAAGGTCCCACAGAATGGGATTTACCCCAGGGGAGTAGAGGGGGTACACAGTGGGATTTACCCCAGGGGAGTAGAGGGGGGACACAGTGGAAATTACCCCAAGAAAACAGTCAGGGACACAGTGGGATTTTCCTCAGGAGAACAGAAGGGAACACAGTGGGATTTGACCCAGGGAACTCCCTCCCTAAGGGCATTGTAGGGGTCCCTACAGCACTTGGACTACAGCAGTTCAAGAAGGCAACTCAATACCACCTTCTCAAGAGCAACTAGGTACAGACAATAAATGCTGGGCCCAGCCAGCGACACCTATGTCCCACAACAGAACAAGAGAAAAAAAGTCGGGGGGGAGTGAAAAGATCCTACACAGAGTGATTTTCCCCACAACCCTCTGAGTTGGCGCAGTCATGAACTTGTGCTCTTGTACTCTTTACCTCTAAGTGTATCAGGATAGTTCAGTGGGCAGCATTCCTGCTTCTAGGTCACAAACAGATTCACTCCAAATCTAGGGATCAGAGCACAGATCTCGAAAGCCAGTCCTCAGTGATGCACTGAGCGAGTGCAGCTCTGTCAGAGGGGCTGCTTTTTTCAGATGCAATGCCAAATTGGAACTGCTCAGGTGGATGTAAATGATCCCATGACATTAATCTGAAGTGGAGCCGGGAGTTCTCCACCGTGTCCTGAGATAGTCCGTCAGTGAGCACCACTAAAACAGATTATCTGGTCATTGTTACATTGCTGTTTGTGGGATCTTGCTGTGCTCAGATTGGCTGCCACGTTTCTTATGGTACAACAGTGCATTCAGACTCACCTGACTCACTGTAAAGTGATTTGTGGCACTCTGAGGTCACAAAAGCTGTTATATAAATGCATGTCTTTCTCTCACTAATGTACATCTGGCTTTACAGAATCCCTACGGGTGTGGGATCAGGCCATTCGAGCCATCAAGTCCAAACCACACACCCCCGCGCCCCCCCCCCCCCCCCCCCCCCGAAAAGCAGCCCACTCACCCTATCCCGGTAACCCTGCATTTCCCATGGCCAGTCCACCTACCATGCACATCCCTGGACTGTGGGAGGAAACCCACGCAGACACAGGGAGAACGTTGAAACCCCACACAGACAGTCGCCCGAGGGTGGAAGCAAACCCAAGTCCCTAGGGCTGTGAGGCAGCAGTGCTAACCACTGAGCCACTGTACTGCTCGTAGTTGCACAATTTTAAAGTAATCTATCCTAGAATATCCAAACAGCAAAACCACATCTTTCTCAGCCTTAGCATTACCCCCACTTCCCCATACACACCTCCCTCAATAGGCTTTAGGTGTCAACGAACCCCACAATCCTTCTTTGACCTTTCCCTTCACCTGTCCAGTTCTGAATTACTGGATTTAGTCTCGCATCTGGGTTTAAATTTGGTATTGTGAAGAAAATCACACGAATTAAAAATACATGTTAAAAAGTAACAGAGATTGACAGTCCTCATAACAGGTTTCAAAACCACTTTGAAAAGAACTCTCTCTTCCTTCACTTTGTCCTTTTCCTGTGCAGACACTGAGAGGCAGATTTCCACCAGCATTCCACAGTCCCGCAACCCCTTGAGATGACAGACAGCTTGGACACTGATGCTCAACTTCAGGAGGCATCACAGTCACACTTGACCCTGTCCCCTCAAATGACCCAGATGGTGGGCTGGGGAGGGTGTTTGGTACCAAGGGAAGCGATTAAGTACAGGGCACACAGAAACATCGAAACTTGAAGCAGGAGTAGGCCATTCAGCCCTTTGAGGCTGCTCTGCCATTCACTATGATCACGGCTGATCCTCCAACACAGTACTCGCTCCCACTTCCTCCCCCACACCCTTTAGCCCTGCGAACTATACCTAACTCCTTCTTGAAAATATTCAACGTTTGGACTCAACCGCTTCCTGTGGCAGAGAATTCCACAGGGTTCCCACTCTCCCGGAGAAGATATTTCTCCTCATCTCAGTCCTACGCAGTGTCCTTAAACTATGATCCCATGGTTCTGGACTCCCCCACCCATTGGGAATATTCTTCCTGCGTTTACGCTGTCTCTTTCTGACAGAATTTTACAGGTTTCTATGAGCTCCCTCCCCCTCCTGACTCTTTAAAACCCCCGTGAACATAATCCACCCGATCCAGTCTCTCCTTCACACATCAGCTCTGCCATCCCAGGAAACAGCACCAACTGAGGGCATTCAGGGGCCTCTCACTGACCCTGTTGGCTTAGCACCAACAGCAGTTGGCAAAGTTTACCCACAGAAGGGCATCTGAAGAGTAAACCTACCCATAAGAGTGTCCGATCAGGATATTGCGTTTCTTGCCATAGCGCCTGAAGATGGCTCTCATGTCCTCGGCGAGGGCGTAGAAAGTGTAGGCAGCGCCGATCTTTGGCGCGGTGCTAGAGCCGTGCCCGGCGAGATCCGGGGCCACCACCTCGTACCCCAGCTTGCCGAAGAAGTCCAGCTGCTCCTTCCAAATGTCCAGGGAGCCCCCAACGCCGTGGATGAAGAACAGCGCCACATCCGAGTGGGTCCCCTTGCAGCTGGTGATCCGCTTCTTGCAGTCGATCACCACCGTCTTTTTCGGCTTGCGTTTGCGCCGCTTGGCTGAGCCCTGCTCCAGGACTGCGCCATTGGCCTGCGGTGAGGTGATGTTGGCATCGGAGAGCTCAATCTCCACTGTGCTGCCAGGCTCGGTGTTGCCGTTCTGACAGTGCAAGATCTCCGAGCGGATCACGTCGCCAAGGTTCTCGATCACTACCTGGCCGTTGCGGTAGACAGAAATCTTGCGCTTGCAGTGCACCACCCCTTTACCAGACACCTCCCCTCCCTCCCCTTCCTCCTCCACTGCCACATTCTCCTTCCTCTCCTCCTCTTCCTCAGCCGCGCTCCGGCTCGGCACTATGTGTTTGACTCGCAGGATCCGGCCGGGCTTCACCTCGATGTAGTCGTAGCCGTCACTGGACTCCACGCTGTCAATGGCTCCCACCACATTCAGTGCCCTCCCGGTGATGCAGCACATGATCCCATCGGTTATGCTGGTCAACATGTTGAACCTGAGAACGGACAAAGATTGAAGACAGAGGCGTTAGCAAAGCTTTCCAGATGTTCCACCACCATTCCTGAGTATATCCCATTGAACAAATTACATACAGAGGAACAAGAAGAGGCCATTCAGCCCTTCGAGCTCACTGCACTATTCAATAAGATCACGGCTGACCTGATTTTAACCCCAACTCTACATTCTTGCATATCCCCTGTAACCATTCACGCCCTAGGTCACCAAGAATCGAGCTACTTCTGCTTTAAAAAAGATTCTGCATCCACTGCCTTTTAAGGAATTCCAAAGACTCTCAAACCTCTGAGACAAAAACAAAGTTTCCTCGTCTCTGTGTGAGGGCAACCCCTTAGTTTTTAAACTCTGACCCCTGGATCTAGACTCTCCCGCAACGGAAACATCCTTTCCACGTCCAAGTCCTGGTCAAGTTCCCTCAGGAACTTACGTGTTTCAATTAAGTCATGTCTGACTCTCTAAAAACCAAAGGGTACAGGCCCAGTCACGTTAGCCTTCATTCACAATGCAATCCATTCAGTGTTGTGATTCAGCTTCTATTTCTACAGGAAAAAGGAGAGAAGCAGATAAACCTTTGAGGTCTGTTACACCGATCATGACAACCTAACTCTATAAAGTTGGGAGGGGGGTGCTGCAGTGGCTTAACCTTAATCCCTGTGGGTTAGGAATCCACCCACCCAGGTAGTATTCTGGTGACATGGGTTCAAATCACACCATAGCTGATGGCTGAAATCTGAATTCAATAAAAATAGGAATTCAAAAATAGCTGGCCTAATTGTGACCATGTAATGGTTTATTCTTGTAAAAACCCCACCTGGTTCACTAGTATCCTTTTAGGGAAGGAAATCTGCCACCCCTACCCAGACTGGCCCACATGTAACTCCAGACCCAGTGCAATGCGGTTAACTCTCCTCTCTTAAACTAGTCAACCTGTTACATCTCACACCTGGGGCATGAACTTGTACCCAGTACTTCTGACCAGAAGGAGAGACACCACCAGCACATTAAGACATTTTCTTGTCAAACTATTCAGAGATTCTTATATTCACCCATGAGACATGGCCGGGCCAGTATTTATTGGACATACTTAGTTACCCCTCAGAAGGTGGTGGTGAGATGCCTTCTATAACCACTGCAGACCATGTACTGTAGGTTGATCCACAATTCACTAAAGGAGGGAATTCCAGGATTTTGTATCAGCCACACTGAAGGAACGGTGATATGTTTCCAAGTCAGGATGGTGAGTGGCTTGGAGGGGAGCTTAGAGGCAGTGGCATTCCCATGTATCTGCATGTACCTTACACACCTCTGGAACAGGTGGGACTCGAACCCTGTCCTCCTGCCTCTTACATAGGGACACTACCAATATGCCACAATAGTCCTCCCAAAATGTGGTTGTCTCTTAACTGAGCAATTAGGGATGGTCAACAAATACCAGCCCATTCAGCAATGCCCACATCCTTCAAATGAATACAAATAAATAAATACACCTTCGCCTGTGCCTCTTTGGTTCAGACATAGTTATTAATCACAAATTTAAAAATAACAATTGATCTTGCGACAATCATTATTTGCAGAAAATTCCAAATTTCTACCACCCTCAGTGTGAAGAAAAGCACCCTAATTTCACTCTACACATGTCCCCAAACAGTAGAAGTTATTTCTCTTTTGTCCCACACTGTTCCCCATTTTTTTAAACAAAACTTTGATCTAATCATCCCTGAAGCTTCTAATGTTCAGGGAGTATTGATGTAAAAATCTCCTCATCCTTTAAGTCACTGGATCCGGCTATCATACCTTATCTTGATCTTTACGTGGAACAATCCCTCTTCCGTACCTACACCGGCCCTAAACCCCACCTCTTCCTCCGTTACATTGATGACTGTATCGGCGCCGCCTCGTGCTCCCACGAGGAGCTCGAACAGTTCATACACTTCACTAACACCTTCCACCCCAACCTTAAGTTTACCTGGACCATCTCTAACACCTCTCTCCCCTTCCTGGACCTCTCTGTCTCCATATCGGGCAACCACCTAGAAACCGATATTCATTTCAAGCCCACCGACTCCCACAGCTACCTAGAATACTCCTCCTCCCACCCACCTTCCTGCAAAAATGCTATCCCCTATTTCCAATTCCTTCGCCTCCGCCGCATCTGCTCCCAGGATGAGGCATTCCACTCCCGTACATCTCAGTTGTCCTCGTTTTTCAAGGACCGTAACTTCCCCTCCTCGGTGGTCGAGAACGCCCTCAACCGTGTCTCCCACATCTCCCGCACCTCATCCCTCACACCCCGTCCACGCAATAAGAACCAAAAAAGAATCCCCCTCGTCCTCACGTACCACCCCACCAACCTCCGGATCCAACGCATCATCCTCCGAAACTTCCGCCATCTGCAATCCGACCCCACCACCAAAGACATCTTTCCCTCCCCACCCTTATCTGCTTTCCGGAGGGACAACTCTCTCCGTGACTCCCTTGTCCGCTCCACACTCCCCTCCAGCTCCACCACACCCGGCACTTTTCCCTGCAACCGCAGGAAGTGCTACACCTGCCCCCATACCTCCTCCCTCACCCCCATCCCAGGCCCCAAGAAGACTTTCCACATCAAGCAGATGTTCACCTGCACATCTGCCAATGTGGTATACTGCATCCGCTGTACCCGGTGTGGCTTCCTCTACATCGGGGAAACCAAGCGGAGACTCGGGGACCGCTTTGCAGAACACTTACGCTCGGTTCGCAACAAACAACTGCACCTCCCAGTCGCGAACCATTTCAACTCCCCCTCCCATTCCTCAGACGACATGTCCATCCTGGGCCTCCTGCAGTGCCACAACGATGCCACCCGAAGGTTGCAGGAACAGCAACTCATATTCCGCTTGGGAACCCTGCAGCCCAATGGTATCAATGTGGATTTCACAAGTTTCAAAATCTCCCCTCCCCCCACCGCATCCCAAAACCAGTCCAGCTCGTCCCTGCCTCCCTAACCTGTTCTTCCTCCCACCTATCCCCTCCTCCCACCTCAAGCCGCACCTCCATCTCCTACCGACCAACCTCATCCCGCCCCCTTGACCTGTCCGTCCTCCCTGGACTGACCTATCCCCTTCCTAACTCCCTACCTACACTCACCTTTCCTGGCCCCATCCCCGCCTCTTCGACCTGTTTGTTTCCTCTCCACCTATCCTCTCCTCTATCCCTCTTCTATCCACCTCCCACTCTCTCCCTATTTATTTCAAAACCCCCTTCCCCTCCCCCTTTTCTGATGAAGGGTCTAGGCCCGAAACGTCAGCCTCTCTGCTCCTATGATGCTGCTTGGCCTGCTGTGTTCATCCAGCCCTGCACCTTGTTGTCTCGGATTCTCCAGCATCTGCAGTTCCTACT